GTATTCAGGGAGTGTTTAGACAAGAGTGTGTGCGGGAAAAGTCATAATTTCTCAATCTGTGTGAAGTTATGTGGTTGTTATATTTGAAATGTGTGACCCCTGGTTATAAAGGATGTTTTTTGGAAGTTCTTTTAACCAAGTGGCCTGTGTCAGGGACTGGAAAATGTGGGCTATTTATAATTATCCACAGGTAGAGAGGGTGGCAGCAGTGCACAGTCCTAGTAATAATTACCAGCAGTATAGAAGTTCATCTCTTAAGCTGTTGGCTCTAATGCACTAAGAAGTATTTGATCTGAAGTCTGGCACAGCCTTCAGATGGAGCTGCTCAAAGGCGTCCTGGCCTAATTTTGCTGTGGAAGCGTGTGAGCCTTCCTCGTTCCCCTAATGTCTTGCAGAAGGTTTCAGTGATAAAGTCTTCACCCCCTACATGTGCATATATTTTACTACAGAGTGTTTGAATAAAGGCAGCCATTGCAAGCCAGGTGGTAAAAATAGCATGCAGCTTAACAGAAATGACCTTCAGTTACGCAGAGACGGGCCCTTCTGCACTTTGCAGTTTTCAATTAGCTTTCCTTAAGACTGTTTTGTTTTGTGTTACATTTGCTGGGTCTTTTTGTGACTAATTGCAAAGCCTGAAGTGCAATCCTGGCTCTGGGTGTACAAGTACAGAGTTCGTGTTACACTGAATTCCTGTTTCAGTGAACATCTCAAAAATGTGAAGCAGGTTATAAATAAAAGTTTTCTTTCTTTTCCAGTTAAATAAATAATTAAATTATCAAGTATTGTCCATGGAGCCCTGTACATTTATCAGCTAAAGCATATAGTGTAAGTGCTTTAATTTTTCTTTGGATACATCAAAGCAGCTGTGATGATATTATGTCTTAATGAACTTTTGTCTTCAGAAGAAAATGGGGAAAAAAATGGAGTCTTTCAGCAGTGGTAGGATAGAGTGTACTGCAGTGAAGGGTGGTGCTCTGTTATTGTCTGTGTAGTTGTAGCCCATTTGTATCAGGAGATAAAAACAAAGCATCCTGAATGGAGGGTGTTCTGCCTAACTTCTCACTTGTGTGTTTTCTCAAGCCATTATCACTGCAGTGGTGGTGTAAGACTACAGGTTTCCAACCAGAAATGTTGCTTTTTGTTCAGTGTGGATTTTTCAACTTGTGCTAATGATATTTCTGAGCAATACTGCGCAGTACATGGTAACCGTAGTGCACATAATTGTAATTTCTATCTTAAGTTCTTTATTTGCTCCTTTCCTCTGCACCTCTTGTACTTACCACCTCATTAGACTGTTGGGGGTTTTTTGCCTTCCCTGCTGCTTTTGTGCTGTCATGTGAGCCAGGTAACTATTAGCATTGGCACCACACTTCAGTCTCATGTTGCAAGTACGAGATCCAAGAGCAGAAGAAAAGGTAGATGAAAAACTAGGCCTGCTCTGGTCCTTTGCTCACCCTCAGGAATCCTGCTTGCTCAGCTCGCAAAAGAGGGCAGTGGGGAGGAGGTGGTTGGGAGTGACTGAAATACTGGCAGAACTCTTGGTGGGAAAGAGCTGGGATGGACGATAGTTCAAGGAAAAACCTGGAGGTGATTGATAAGGGGTGGAAAAGGGTCCCTGTGTCAGGGACCCTAGCTCCATCTTTGGCTCATCAGCTGTGTCTGACAGCACTGGAGCATGCAAGCCAAGTGTTTAAGCAGACGTGGATGATTTGAGCACTGCATCCCTCGTCCTCTTTGGTTTTTGGAAAGTGAGTGTGTGGAGCCAAGCTGGAAAGTTTGGCATCTCTCTGCTCTTCTGGTTTTCTTGGAAGCCTTTGTATTCTCCTCTTAGACTGAGGAAGAATGGGAAAGGTGGGTGCAAGGTGCCAATGAAGCTGATGCTCCTCCTCTGACCTACAACATCACTTCAAAACATGTATTTGTGCAAATCACCATTTCACTTTTTACATGGTCAATAACTGTGCTCTCTCAAATGGAGAGTGGGGGGAACTGAAGTTAGGATTACTTGGAGAAGTATCAGGTTCCTGAGGGCATTGTAATCAAGGTGACAGCTGCTTTCCTTATGCTATACTGAAACAAAATATCCCAATCCCTGCAACAGAGCCTTACCAAATACATTAACCTCAGTGCTTTTACTCTTTCCACAAGTTGGTGGAATACTTAGCACTGTTGTCTAATAAAGTATTGGAGTGCTAATCTCTTTCCATGGATACCAGAGGGGAAAATGTTGAGTATTGCTACCTCAAGAGCATGGGCATATGATTGCAGCCATGAACATTTCAAGGCAGGCAGGGCAGGGAGGGGAGCAGTTTCTCTCTGGGGTGCTTGTGCACCAGCAGTAGGTGCTGAGCATGGCACGGGAGGAAGAGGAAGGGTGGGCTCTAGCATGCCCTGGGGGATTATCTGTGGCTCAGCAGCTGCTGTCTGGATGCTCGCTTCTCCTTACCCTGCATGATGAGTAACGTGCTAACCACAATCCTTTCACACTCCCACCCCTTCTGAGGTATTTACACTTGCCCTTAAGTAACCATTTCTTTCTTTGGCTACTTAAGCTGACACAGTTGGGAGTGAAAGAATGGGAGATGCTACTTTTAATAGCCCTGATGTGCCGCTTGGGAGAAGCGTGTTTGAGGAGCAGACTATGGGAGTCCTCTCTGAGCTCTATTTATTCCTCACTCCTAATAATACCAGTTAATTTTAAACAAAACCTCCTGTAGGTGTCTTAGCCACAGAAAAAAAAATATACAAAAATACTTCACTGGTTTTTGGGTGTCGTGTGTTTCCAGTGATGAAGGACAAGCATGTGAGGGGAAGAGATTTATATGAATAAGATAAGTGAAGACCACAAGAGATTCACTAGTCCAGGGCTTTATTGTGGGACTGTAACTAAAATTTTAGGAATTATTCTCTGGTACAAAGTCTTAATAGGCTTCTTTTTAGAGAAAACTAGTCTTGGGATTAGTTTTTGGATTGCCAGAGGCATGCTCTCTGAGTAGTCAGAGGGTGGAAGCCTGGGTTTCCTTCAAGGCAGAAGGACCTTCTCCCAGGCACCTATGGAAGGGTCTGCTACAACAGCATCAGGAAAAGGGAGGTCAAACTGGGAAGTTGAAATCTGTGAAGACAAGAGAGATGAGAGCTTAAAAATTGCAGCATGGGGAGGCAAGAGTGATCCAATTGTTGAGCCTCACTGTACTCAGCGTAGCATTAGTTGTTACATGCCAACCGCCATATCCCTTTTCTGCTTAGAAAAAGCAAGAACAAGGAGTGAAAGGACTCCGAGAAAATAAGCTCAGGGGGGCTAGTTAACCTGAACCCTTGCAAGAGGGTGGCTGGGGTGTGCCAAGTCCCTGCTCGTGCAGCAGAGATCCTGTATGGCTCCATTTCAAAATTCTTGAGGGTTTTTTCCTTACAATTTAAGTAGAGGCTGAAACTGTAAGGCTGACCTTTTGCATAAGGTGACAGCTTCTTCCAAGGGAGAAGAAACAGACACCCGAGGAAATTGAAAGGAGAAGTGTTCCAATACTAACTTTTTAGGGCTGATTTGTTTACTTTTTCCATAATTATTTTTAATGCTATCCTGCTGGTAGCATGAGAGGCATCAGAAGAAGGCAGTGTGTTCATTAGTTGTGGTGCAAGACTTGTGAAGCCTGACCAAAATTAATAGGCTTCACTGGATGGTCATTGAGTACATGCTCTGGAAATAACTCCTTAATTTTCTTTTGGGGTTTGGGAGATGAAGGGGGACTTTCAGCCCTTACAGTTATTTAAAATAATATACTGGCATGCCAAGCGAAGCGAAGGATTTATTTTTTCTGATGTTGGGAGAAGCAGCTCATTATTAAGAAATTCTGGCTGTTTGTGACTCCTAGTTTGTTCTCGTAATTTTTATGCCCATGTTTGTATCTGAAGGTGTTCACAAAGG